TGTTGTGGGCAGGGGAAGGGATTGTAAGCCGCGCTGAGACTCCTTTGGGTAGTAAAAGGCAGGGTATAAAGCCAATCTCCTCCTCCTCCTCCACTTCTTCTACGCCAGGAGAGCAGTTGGAATAACACAGCATTCAGTGAATGCCTTTAAATTTATTTCACTGTTAGTGCAGTGATGCAGCCAGTAGAGGCTCAGGGAAGGCAGAGTAAACTGCAGCTGTTCCATCTGCTGGCTGAAGCCTTTCTGCAGACTTTACTAGACCTAGGCTGAGGGAAACACTTGCCTCCAATGAGATGCTGGTCGAATCTGCATTTGCATTTTTAAATTAGTTTCATGCTGCTGTGACGCCATCTTCCTCTATGCTTGTTTGCAGGGGTCGTTTCATAGAAAAAGAGCTAGGGGAACTCATTAGCATAACTCATTAGCATATCCCACCCCCCCTGACATCTCCGGAAGTGTGTCATAAGGCCACACACCCCACCCCCAACGGTCCTGGCCGCCGCCGGCCTTGCAGCTCCACTGCCGAGCCCCATGAGGGGCCCGGCGGTGGACCTGCAAGGCGGGCGGGAGTGCAAGGAAGCCCTGCAGATTCAGCCTCTGTTAAGCCCATCAACCAAGTCCAAAAAGGAGCAAGACAAGATCATTGTTAATGGCTGCTACAACAGTACTTACCATGCTGTAGCTTGGAGCAAAGCTGTTGCCTCCAAAAGCAACTGTCTTTCATTGATTTTTGTTGCTGCCCCAGACACATTCTTTTTTGCTGCTGACTGGTGTGACACCCTTTTTTCCTGGTGTCCTTTTTAACACACCTGCTTCTGTAACCAGAATTTTAAAAATTACAGCTCAAATAAGCCCTGACTACAAGCCCAGTCTATTGTTTTCCTCTTCCTTTCATTCCACCATGCCATATCTAGCCAAGTGGCAGTCAGCCTTCTCTTCTCTTTTCCTTAATTTATCTCCCTGTTTTCCACACGTTTCTCCTCCTCTTTCATTTTGCTCTCTTTCTTTCATAATCTGCCTTCATTTCTCTCCTCCCTTGCCTTCTAATTTTTATGTCCCCCTTCCCTTTATTTTCCAGTCCTTGGTCTTACTCCCCACCCCTACCCCAACTGGCAACTTAGAACATACTTAAGAGCAGTAAAACAGCAAACTTTTGATAATATTATGAACAGAAAGTGGGGTGTTCAGTTAGTACTTATCAAAGTAGTAAAAGCATGCTTGTTTCCCCCACCCACCCACACTTACATGCCTGGTAACAGGATGTTAATCTGTTTTTGTCGTTATAAATGTAGAACAGAAGTTAGAATTCCTTCTCCCTCCCCACATGATTAGAAGAGATCACATTTGCAACACTGTTCAAGCAGTGGGTTATTATTATTGTATTGGTGGGAGATCTAATATCCCTTTAGATAGTTTCAGAGGGTCGTCATGTTGGTTTGCGGCAGAACAGCAGAACCTTAGAGAAGAACAAGATTTTGGGGGTATAAGCTTTTGAGAGTTAAAGCTCTCTTCATCAGATATGAGTCAAGTACAGAATCCACGGAAGAAGGTGTGCATACAGGGTGTCTGCCTTGCATTTTTATCTTCTGAGCAGCCCTGGTGACTGTGGGTGCTTATTGCTATTAAGTACTTTAAGGCTACAAAGCCTATGCACACTTACAAGTAAATACCATTGAGCTTATTGAGAGTTAAAGTAAAGTAAATGTGGTTAGGATTTTGTGGTACTTCACCCAGTGATATCAATGGGAGAGTTAAGCATAGGATGGTTCCCTTTCAGGACAGTGTAGATTTTAACACACTTAGTTTAGAAGGATTGTATCTCTTGTTAATGTCTCTTTTATACTGTATAAAATAAAGCTGGGGGGGAACAAGCTGAATGATTTCGAGAGAAACTGACTTGAACCAGCAGCTGTGGCAAAATATGTGCAACAGTTAAATATACATTTACATTTCTTTATTTGTCCCCTGGAGACCATAATATGATCAGGAAAGTCATGGTTTTGCTTTTCAGAAGCTATAAAAAAGTACTATAAAGAAAACTTAACCTATTATTGGCACTGTCTGTGTGTGTATATATACATACAGACATTGATACATATGTATGTATATGTGTGTGTATACACAGTATACATTGGTACGCAAAGTGAATCCACTATATACATACATACATACATACATACGTACGTACATATATACACAGGGAGAGAGTATACATCTATATATATAAAAGAAAGTCCCCTCACCGTAAAATCAACGCCCAGGCCAAACCGCTGGACCCAGAGACACCAAATTCGGGGAGAGCGCTCCTACCGTGGCGTAGGTGCTCGCTAAGAAGGGATTTTTAGACATTCAACCCCTAAGTTGGTCAAAAGGGGGAAAATGTGCTTCCCCCATTGATTCCTATGCGGCTGCTAGGCAGCTGCCTCTCTGCTCCCCCCACTCTCTAATTGGTCAGCTGCAGAGCTCAGTGTTTTGAGGTAAAAAAACCCAACAGTTACAGGGGACTGCAGAGAGCTAATGACAGTTGAGGAAATCAGGAGTGCCCAAGAACCACCTGTGAGGTGAAGCAAAGCTGCTGGCCCAGCCTCTCTGATGGCTTCCAACACACTCCCCCCACCTCCTACACCTAACAGGCGGTTGTCTGTCAGGTGCAGCCCCATCTCCACAGTGACTTCTAATACTCCTCCCCCCTCCCCCTCCTACACTGGACAGGCAGCTGCCTGTCAGGTGTAGGAGAGGAGGTGGGATGGCTTCCAACACACTCCCCCACCTCCTACACCTAACAGGCGGTTGTCTGTCAGGTGCAGCCCCATCTCCACAGTGACTTCTAATACTCCTCCCCCTCCTACACTGGATGGGCAGCTGCCTGTCAGGTGTAGGAGAGGAGATGGGATGGCTTCCAACACACTCCCCCCACCTCTTACACCTAACAGGTGGTTGTCTGTCAGGTGCAGCCCCACCTCCACAGTGGCTTCTAATACTCCCCCCTCCCCCTCCTACACTGGACAGGCAGCTGCCTGTCAGGTGCAGGAGAGGAGCTGGGATGCTTACAGCCACTGGGGAGGTTTGATCAGCAGGATTGCCTTAGCATTGCTGCTGGCCCAGCCTCCCCGATGCCTTTAAATACAATCCCCCCCAACAACAGACAGGCCGGTGAGTGTCAGGTGTAGGAGCAGGGCCAGGGTATGAATGTTTATGGGGGGATAGTAAAGGACATTTCTAGGAGCCATTTCAATGGGTGCCTCCCTCATGAACCT